GTGCAACCGACAAATCCAATTACTCATTGCTGTCTATTCATCTTGCAGTCTTCTTATGCAGTGGACTAAGGAGACGAGTCTGTCTCCCGTCCACCTTTCTCCGGCCGACCTTCAGCGGATCCATAGAAACTGCACCGGTAGAACTGCTACGAGTCTTTGTCATCAAACTACCGCAAGTCTAAGTCGACGGGGAGTTCCATTCTATTCAAATTTTTATCCGTCTTGGTTAACCGCTGAATGCCGGAGACGATACCGGTCAAATTACTCTGGCACGCGAGCAGCTGATCGCTGAAACTGAGAGTCACGCGCCGGAGATGGAAGCCCAGGCAGCTCCCGGGCAGCATTCCCACGTGGGAGCGTGCAGAGATAATCGCGCGATATGACTCAGCAGCCTTTTCTTACTGCAGCTTGTCTTTAGCGAAAAGACTAGGTTGTGAACACTGAACAGTAAAATGATTAAAAAGCATTTGTTATTGAAAAAAGAGAAATATATACAACGAGAAAATAAATCAAAATTAAACTAGCAGATTAGAAAAGAGCAATGGTTAGTGTAAAATCCAGATTCGTTTTTGCACATGCCTAGGTACCAATTATAAATACGGCAAAATAGTCCTATACAGTCCGAATTTATTAACCCGGCACCGCCTGGGCTATTTCCGTACCCACATCAGCCTGGGGGGGGGTCGGATCCGACCCCCCCCCTGTTATCTCGAGAACCAATGGTCGTATCGAGCCCCGCGAGGCGGCGTTCGAAAGGTCTCTACGAGACCTTCCCAAAGCACTCTTAAGATTTTAAGATTGAGGTCAACTTTCGGGTCAAGGTCAGGTCAAAGGTCAAATTCAGGGGTTTTGCATGATTAACCCTCGCCGGACCTATTGGTTTTCTACATACGCGCCGGCCGAGGGGGGGGGGGCGGGTACGACCCCCCCTCGCCGTTTCGCCCCTGGTGGAGCTAGCGCGTCGCGGAAAAAACGAGCGTGTGCGCCGTTACGAGACGCAGAGATTGGTACCCGATTTTAAGGTCCTAGGTCAACCGGTGACCTCTGAGGTCAGGTCAAGTGCCCCTGGGTACGGTTCAGTTTTTGGTGAATAACTTCGCAAAAAACGATCGCAGAGCGCCGATTTTGGCAGCATCGTGTTCGCCTCGCTCAGGCGCGTCGAATGATATACTTTTTGTCCGGGTCAGGTCAACTTGGGGTGTTGACCTCAGGTCAAGGTCAGGTCAGCACCCCCAGGTCACGAAGTTGGTCAAAAGAGGTCATGTCGCATATCATTCGATTCGGCAGGCCTTCCTGAGTCCATTGGTGCCTTTCCCGACTCGCTAGCTCAATTTGATCAAGAGTTATTGACGAAAAACTAATTTGACCTTGATGACGTCATAAATGACGTCACGCAAGGTCAACATTGCAAAAGTGACGCATCTAACCTTGCAAGGAGTGCATCAAATCACGATTCTGTGTGCTTGAGATAGTTGGAGATCGTTCCCGGCGCCAGAATAGCAGTTTGAATTTTTCCCCATTGACTTATAATGGTGAGGTCACGAAAATGACCTGACCTCATATGACCTATAGGAAAAATCCGAGATATACAAGTTGTGGGACTCATAATGGATACTAGATCCTGCAAGTTTCATTTCCCTGTGACATCTCCTCTGGCAGTGAGGGCGTTGCGAAGTTGCGACATCTGAAGACCGTGCAGAGGTTCACTTATGACGTCATAGGTCAGTGACCTGACCTGACCCAAAAATGCGGTTGGTGTCAAAAGATCCGGCTTGGATCAAAGGTCAGGTATGCTAAGTTCAGCTCTCTATCGCCAGCGTGTTCGGAGCTATCGCGAAAAAACCCTATGGGGGGGCGGCACCCGCCCCCCCCCCCCTCGGCCGGCGAGGGTTAGGCTTACGGACAGCGGAATCGATAGCTGCTGCTCGAAACTCACCACAAATGACCTCAAAGACCTAGTGAAGGTACCATGTGCGTATAGGGGTCATACTAAGTACGGGTCAAGGTCAGGTCAGGTCACGAAAGGTCACGGTTTTCACTTTCTGCTACATGGGCGTGCGACACATGTTTTATGGCTTATTTTTGACGCCAAATCCGATGGTAATGGTTATATGTGACCCCAAGTCACTGTGCTGGTGATAAGTGTGCATTGAAAGCATAAAAAATCGTTTATACCATACATAACTAAACGAGGGCTAAGAAAAAAAGTCAATTTTTCAACTTTTTATTTTTGACATAAAAATGCACTTTTCTAGACCAGCTTTGTCCCAGGAATCTAGTGGTGCCATTTGTTTTCACATGCGATGTTCAGAAGTGCCTCTAATTCGCGAAAATGCTGATGACGTCACCATGCCCTATGCATGTTGGAGCTATTTTTTACAATTTGGGGGTCAAAAATCAAGATAGAAAGTTGAAATTTGGGACATCTAATGTTCTAATAGAGCTCTATAACATATATTCCGGTTTTTTGGAAATTCTCAAAATTTTGGATTTTATTAGCTGTTTTCCAAAAAATATAGTTTTTTGAATTTTTAGGGGTGAAAAACGCATTTTATGGAAAATCCGAGATAGCCATTTTAAAGAACTCGTTGAGCTGCGTCTTTTCATGTCCTTAATTTGCAATTTGCTTAAAACCTCGATTTTTGGCGATTTTTTAAACATTTACCATTTTTTGACTGAAAACGCCATGTAGTTACATCACTAAAATCGATATATCTCAGAAATTTTTGAACATTTTTTCTTAAAAATTGCACAGGAGACGTCAAATTGATGGGGGAGAAGGTATGCGAAGTTTCAAGTTGATAGCGCAAGCGGTTCATAAGTTATTCAAGAAAAACGGAGGGGGGGTCGGATCCGACCCCCCCCCCCAGGCGGTCGCGGGTTAACGCCCATTTTTTCAAATAATTATTATTGAATTTAGCAGTCGAGCTTCTCCGGTAAGCCAAGCATAAACTCATCAACAAAAGGTTTTGTCGTGGGTGGCAGGTCCTCCCCAATCCCATGACAGCCATGACCGTCTTCCCACGCCTGGCAGGTGCCGTCTTCGAGGTCAGTTGGGATGGCATGTCAGCTCCGATCAGATACGCGCCAATTGAACGGGATTCTGAGCGACAGATCGAGAGGCAATCTGTCACCGGCTGATCCCACCAGTCTGCCCCCTGCGGAGACGCAGCCGTTGCAAAACACCACGGCAGCGCTGCGCAACCATGGCGTAAGGCGTCTCCGGCCCGAGCGGCGGCGGCGGCGGCGGCGGGCGAGCCGCCCGCCTGATGGCCCTCTCGTGCAACAGAGCTGATGGCGCAACCCGGGGCGGGGCCGGCGGCCGGGTCACACGGCCCCAGCCGCGGTCACCGGTCAGAGGGCCGGCCGGCCCGCGGTGCGGCCGACCCACGGCTCCGGTACCGGCGGACGCAGCTCGGATCGGGCCGGCGCCGGCCGGACCGCCGCTCGGGGGCACCGTCCGTGCAGGGATTGGGCCACGCACGGCGGCGGGTCGGAAAGGTCCAGACGACCTGTGACCTTCGGAGAAGCCGGCGTGGCGGTCCGCTCCTGCCCTCTCTGCGCCGGGTGTTCCCTGGGGTTCTGTGGTTCTGAATGTCCCGACAGAGCCTGACCTCGCCTGGATCATCGAGAAGTTATAGGTCTGCGAGTCGCTCATCGGCTACTGAGTACTGACCACGAACGGCAGATCCCAGGACAGTCGGGCAGCCACGTTGGACACGTGGGTGAGGTGTGGGGCCCTGGCGGACACTGGAAAACGTCTGTGGAGCGCTATACGGTGGTTCATGCTGCGTCATTTGGTTCGGCATGGTAAGGCACGATGAAGGACAACATATTTAATAGGAGAGCCTATTTAGGTAGTATGCCACTACAGCGTCAATTGCTTTTTCTAGGCCCCGGCTACTAATTTTGGCGTCCCGCTCTCGTCCCAGAAGCGTTGTGCATGTTCTGAGATCTCCGTGCACTGCGGATAATCTGCATTTTCTGGCGGCAGCTGCTCTTGTCTATACGGATCCAGCAGTGCAAGCCTAGCCTAAGCCCGATTGCGGTTGGGTGGAATTGCATGCATTAGCCCTCACTTTCCATTCGCGCTGGATAAATCTGTCGCGTATTTGCGTCTTCGGGTCAGTGATACCGCTGAAAAGTCCAATCCATACCTATTTGAAAGCTCTTTCGCTAAGGTGTCCCCAGATTTGGCCCAAGGTCAGCGGTTCGGTCTACAGAGACCGAAAACCATCGGCATTGACGTTTTTATCGAGTGTCGCCTGTCAAACCACTCTAAACTGTTTACCGACCGACACATCTTTCCTAAGTGATTTGCTGTATAAATACTTCTATAAATACTTATTAACAAATACTAGATACAAATAAATAATATAAGCCCTTTTCCGAATAAAGAAAGAGCTGCTTTTGTTCGTGTGGAGCTGAGATGTAGCTCCTTTATAGGCAATGCTAGGCAAGCTAGGTCTAAAAGATTCACGATTTATCGGTCTCCTTTATCTCGTGGCGGTTGTCAGCAAGACCCTCCCTCGCCTTAGAATGGTCGCAGAGCAGGTCAGGTGATAAGGACAAGCTTTGGACGGCTGACCCTGGCAAATGTTTCATAATTAATCAGGCTTCCCCTTATCTAGTGTAGACCGTCAGTTACTCAATCCCTCCTGGCACAGGGTACCGGGCTGGGAGCTGCTTAGGTGGCCAGGGCAGGCACAGAAAGGCTGCTGCTCTCCGTCGGTCGCAAGGTCGAGGACTAGGGGTCCTGGACAATCTCTTTTAGCACCCTGGCCTGACCCCGATGGCGATGGGCCAGAACATGTGGCAACAGGGGACTAATCTAATTCAGGTTTGACATGTGCATGAACGAAAGTGTTCGAGCGTGTCAAATTGATCATAACGTTTTATACCCCCAGATTGTTGGTCTAATTTTGATTATGATTTTTGAAAGGCGGTCGGGTTTCTCAAGAAGCATTGACGAGGTTAAGATGAAAATCACAGCCCACAGGTATCTTCCGATAGTCCATGTATTTATCATTCGACGCATTAGGAAACAAACCGGCATGACTTACAAATCGATGACCATAAAACATAAGACGCAACAAAATAACAAACTAATGACGTATTTCACAAGTCGCCAGAGCACAGACAGCCCCACACATTCCTTCTACCCAGTAGCACCATGGCTGGCCCGGACTGACGACTGACAGTCCCAGTCACTGCCTACACCTGCTCAGTGTCACCGGCCACCTCAGAGTCGGGAACAGCACCGGTACTCCTGGCAGGGGCGCCGCGCGGGTCTCAGGGCACGGGCGCCGGGTCTCACGGCAGGGGCGCCGAAGGGATATCCGAACTGACCGGCCGAAAGCCCAGCTCGTCGGCGATGTAGCTGAAACATCAAGGGCAGGTCAGCGGGGGCACTTTCACCGGCACGTCAGCGGCACGGACAGAGGTGCCCGGTGACCTCCCTCCCTCCCTCTCTCCCCGCCTCCCACGCTCTGCTCTGGGCTGGTCTGAGGACCGGTCATCCCGCGCACGGCAGACCGCGCGCGGCGGACCAGTTTTTACCCAGCTCGGCCGGGTGAAGGTGAGGGAGGTAAAAAGAGCCGCCTCTTCTGACCACCGGCGGACGGAATTCTGACAATATTGCGGCCTGCGTCTACCACAGAATTCCATCGCGGGGCTCCGGTGACGGCGGTCGGGCGCGCCGCGGCCGCGCCGACCTCGGGGCCGCTGTTTTGTGCCTCCACGCCGCGTCCCAGGCAGGTCGTGATCTCCGGTATCAGCCCCGGGGAAAGTAAAAGTGCTCCACGCCCGGTGCTCGGCCGACGCTACATAACGGGACCGGTCCGTCCGTGCCCCGGGGCGGCGCGCGGCCTTGAACTCGCCTTTTGAGCTGAGATAAATCGACCGACCGGCGACCTTGGAGACCACGTGATGGTCCTATGGGTGCCCCGGGACAGGGATGATTGCGGGGCACCCCCCGCCGCGGGGGGCAGAACAGGGCGGCAAGGTCGCTCTGGTCCGGGACGAGATGGGACTCAAACAGTACCGGCCTTTCTTCAGGTTATGTTCGTGGTGCTCTATCGATTAGTAATAGAAGTTATGGGAACTGATAGCATCGTCTAGGCACGGAGCACGCCAGATGTAACTACGAGCAAAAATAACGAAGAAAAACGAGGTATCTCGCTCAGTTTGATTGTAATGTTGCGACACCGAGGGCTGGTTCCAAAGGCTATGTGTGCTCGATTAGTTAGTATTCTGTCGTCTTATCAGCCGCTCAGTTTCAAATACGACCTCTGAATGGGAGGGACACATCAGTGATGAACACACCGGTATCTCGAGCGCGTCACGTGTGTCCAATAAGCCGTGGCGGGGAGCGGCGAGCGATCGGCTCGGCGCTCGCCCACCCAGAGCCCACCCTCTCGCGGCCGACCTCACCGGGTCACAGCTGTGTCGAAAGCGGCGGGCGGGCGGGACGCATACACAGACACGCGCACACATATTTAATCGCCCCAACTCAGCCATTGCACCATACTCAGGGCGTGCGCGGGACGGAGGTGCGCTATGAGGCGACTCCCCAGCGTTAGGCGCCTCACAGCGGCAGCCTGCACGGACCATACGACTGCAAGAGGGTGGTGCCCATACAAGATAATGAACTCCACTAGGTCAGGGTGGTGAACGAGGGATAAACCGCGATTGACCTGCACGCCACGCATGCGATTTCGCCGTGCATTGTTTGTCGGCTTTTGTTAGGTTAAACGGGATGAACAATGCCAAAGTATACACAAAATGGTGATCACGTATTAGCTCGTGAGCACTAATTCGTAATAATTAGTAAGATAGAATCTCAGGTTGAGCATAATCCGCTACTATGGACATATTATATTCAATATCGAAGTAGGTTTGCCGAGACATTATGTAAGTTACCCTTTATCTTTTTTTCTAGAGAAGTTTTGCCCTACAATTGGACTTTGTGAGATGACCCGGCTGTCAGGTCGTTCAACATAGCCTGTGTCTCGACTCACCTGAGCTCGTAGAACGTGCCGTCGTCCTTGGGGTAGCGGATGACTCCTCGCACCACGTTCACGCGTTTCACCTCCTCCTGACCGTTGTCATTCTTCACGACCACGTCCTTCAGGGCACCCTCCTCCTCACGGTTGATCTCGTTACCCGTCTTGAACCTGCAGGAGGCGAGTGAGAGAGCTTGTTAGTCCATGAGTGAAAAGTGCGCAAGTTGACGTTACATGTCTTGTGAGTCAGAGACCGTGACGAATAAACATAAGTCACGGTGCGTGAAGAAACTACTCATGTGTGCCACTTCGCCCTCGAGTTAGCGTGATAAATTATCCGTGAATAAGTCTTTCTTTTAAATAAAAAGCCATGAAGCCGGCCTCCTTTTAAAGCCTCCTTTCAGGCTACCCGGCACAGAGAGCTTGTGTAATTTTAGCAACAAATCAGGCGGCGACATGTGAAATGAGCCGGCAGACCGGCAGGCAGTTACCGTCAGCGTCCCGTTCAGTTGCGAGACGGGCCACAGTTGCACGCGCCGCATTGAATTTATTATGAATGCAGTTTGACAACAATCGTAAATCGCGCTCTGCTGCCAGCGGCACGAATGTCCGCGGCTGTCGGCGCCACCGGCTCCGCACGAACTTCGGTGTTGCAATGCAGACTGCATAGAACGGTCATGTTCGGTCGGGTGCCTAAACTATGCATGCATTGATGCAGCTCATTATCAAAATCACCGAGCTTTATCTGAGGTCAAGGTTGTGCATTGAGTGAGATGTCGGTGTAGTATGTGTTACGTCTAGCACGTCACATCCTGTGCAGTTTGATGTCAATGTGCGATCCTGTGACGTCACCATTCGAACGTTCTCCAGCTTCAGAGCTTCGCATTACGATCGAACCCACCTGAACTGGTAGTTTCCGTCTCCGGCAAACTGGTTGACGTACTCGAGGATCGGTACTGGCGTGGTGGCTGGTCTCTCGCCCTGCGGAGCCGCGACCGCCAGCGCCACCAAGGCAGCAAATACAATCTGCCGCACAAGGGATGACGGTAAAACGACGTCAGTAGACACTCATGGGACGAAAAGGAGGAAGAACTTCTGCGACTAGCGAGATCATCGGCCATGCTCGGCTTTACAACAGCTCAGAAATTCGGAAATAAATCGTAATGGTCACGCAAGAAAACCTTTTTATTTCTAATGGGAATCAATGATTTTGGTTGACTAACAATTTAGTCCGAATACCATCAGCCAGTGGATATACCGTCTTCCTACCGAGGAATTTGAGATAGACACCCGGCCCGGAGCGGATGACCGACATTCCCGAGGTTGGATACACTGTCCGGCAGCAGTGCACGTTACAGTATACCGTAACCCCTACCGTGACTCCTATAGGGGTCAGGGGCACAGATTGGCTACGAGAGGGTGCAGAAGGGGTACAGACTGACCACGCACTGGCGAGGTACGGGTTCCCAGCCGGGGTACGGGCTCCACAGCCGGGGTACGGGAGGGTTACGGGCGGGATGTCGGCGGGGCACGGGAGGAGCCTAAGCGGAGTGCGGGCGAGGAACGGACGGATATACGAGTAGATCGAGCGTGAGTGGAGCGGAGCACCTACCAGACTCATGGCAGCAGCGTCGGGCGTGGCCGGCGGGAGAGCTTCTCAGGCAGTGTGTGTGAGTGCCCCGGGCACGGCTCTCCCTTTATAGCCAGCCCGCGGCCTGCAACTGGAGCAATCGCCCGCGGGGAGAGCAGGAGAGACAGATCGTGCGTGGGGAGAGGGTCGGGAAGCGGGCGCCGGGTGCCGGGCGCGCCCCGGGTCAGCCATAGACGACCGCCACGCCCCCGGGTCAGTCGGGAACGACCGCACGCCTCGGGTCACCGGTGAACGGTGCGGCAGCGCAACAGCCGTAGGGCAGGCGGGCATCGTCAGCCCTGTACACAACAACCGGGCCTAGTGTCAACAGTCTCAGAGGCCAGTATGCTGTAAGGCGGCCCGGAGAAAGTGTGGATGAACCGGCGAGGCTGAAAGTTTGAGCCGCTATAACGTCTTTGTAAACTTGAAATTGCAATAATCTGGGAGCTGGTTGCAGGCGCCATTTATGTTTTCACTCCAGACAAGGCCTGACTATTGACGAACCTAAGTGTGACAGTGAGGTGTTTTATCTGATCTGAGGCGAATATGTGGTGGGTTCTCTGGAGCTGGACCCTGATGCAGCATTTACTGATCGACAATTTATGCCTTGCAACTTCACTATTATCCGTTTGAATATGCAGTGGCCGTGATCCATGAAGGTTCCTGTTTCTCACGCATGCAAAAACTACACCAAAACTTCTTGTCTACCCGTGCACAATTCCTGTGCACAATGCACATTGCACACGCTTACCACTTATCCAAACACCTGTGCAAGCGTACCTAAACTACGAGCAGCTACTGCATCTCAAACAGTCGCCAAGTGGTAGATTCAAGAAGCTCTCAGCGCGCTGCTACACCGCATGCCCTTGGCGATCCATGTCAGACGTCCACTTCAGACACGCAGGGAGAGCGCACCTGTTGGGGGGGGGGGGGGCTGGATACCCACACCAGATGACACCGGCCCTCACTGGAGGCCATTGCCAGGTGTCCTACCCTGATGAACGCACGGCTCCACAAGGTCGCAGTCGCACCTTGTGCAATGAATGCTTTCTCGAGGGTGTCCTCGAACGCCTGTGCGCAGCGAAGGACAGTGACGGGACATTTGTTCGCACGGCGGATGAAGTTCGTTCAATAAGAGGCAGCCGCCGCCGTATATTCATGCTATTATTCCTAGTACCTTGAGATATTTGACTTGACCTCAGAGGTGACCAGTTGACCTGGGCTACAAAAACTGGGTATCATTCGCTGCGTCTCGTAACGATGCATACACTCGACTTTCTACCACTGCACTGGGGTCAAACTCATTTAGGGGCGAAACAGCGAATGAATAACACCGATATATCCGTCGAATGTTTACTTGTTTATGCTTTTATGTTTAGATTCAGGAATGACTCGACAGATGATCATCTTGCGAAATATAGCTATCATTCATGGAACCTACATAACTTCATATTGGCATGTAACGGATAACGACAGCACGACTTTTCGAGCATGCGGCTGCCCCAGCCCGATGAGTCAATCATTCACCGGGTATCGAAATTCACTGGACCTCGACTAAATCATCTTGTGCTACGATGCAGCGGCAGGAATGACAAAGCGGTGCACTGTGAAGAAATCAAACAAGGTACATTTGTACGGATCAGCTCAGCATCGTCGAATCCATGGATTACCGGCCGTAACTTCTGCCATATATTACATTACGTTAATGAAATCAATCGAAAAACAATTTGTTGTAAAGCACAATATTCTGTTTTTGAGTTATAAAAAGCAAACGACGTGCGATTGGATTCAGCAATGCTCATTCGTTGATGCTCCTGTATAGATCGCAAACATATCGGTCCCATTGCATCGATAGGCATTTTATCGGAACAGCATGCGAACAATATCGCATCAATATCATTGATCCCATATCCCGTCACTTTGGATGCTCCAGACGTCATGATACAGTCGAGTAAATTTCTTTGTATGTTTATTTGTTTTCCAAATTGCTACATTAGCACTACATTACTCAAAACTACATAAGTCTTTTTACACGTTTTAACCCGTATACCCACCACACCAAAACACGTGTGGTTTCCGCTGTGCAGTGTTTGTGGGTTTTGAGCCAGTGGCTCCCACTGGTACACACTACACGTACACATAGACCAAAAGGCAATAGAAGAAAAACAATAAATCACGTATAAAAAACCCATACCCGTTGTTCAAACAAGAGGTCACGAGGACAGCCGAGTCGTGTAATTCCTGAGCTGATCGGTACTAACCACTCAAAACATCACAGCGCGACAGCGGGTTCCCCACCGACCCCGCCAGGTCACCATCGCGTCCCGTCACTGCTGCGGCGGGTCAAATGTGATGTCCATCTCGGGCACATCGATCACATACAGCAGCACATCCTGATCCCCTTCCGCCGAGTCCGCCAGTACCGCCGCCGACGGCGAGCGGGCCAAGCTCGAGTCCAGCGCGGCGTCGCCAGATGGCACTGCCAGCAGCAGCGTGCCGTCCGGCTCCAGGGTGAGGATGGAGTCGGCGGCCGGCCGGGCCGGAGCGCTGTGCAGGGAGTCCAGGAAGCCGGCGGCCGACCACTGCGGTCGCTCCGCAGGGTGCATCTTGGCCAGGTGCCGGCTGTAGGGGGGGGGAGGGGGGCAACGGTCAGCGTAACTCAGAGCAACGAATAGGCCGAGTCAAGTTGATCGCTGATGAAGAAAAAATGCAAGGCGTAACAAAAAAAAGTTTAACTATCATAATTCTAATCACAATGCATCCATCAAGCATCCAATTCCACTTTCCATCCAAAGTAATCTAACAGCAGTGAGCCCAGCTCTCTGAGATGATGCCAAAAACCCAGCAGAAGAGGACACAGGAAGAGGACATAGAAGAGGACGGCCGTCCAGCCGACCGTACCCACACTGATTCGCACTGCCTCAACCAACCACCCACTACCGGCGGCGCGGAGTCTCACCTGATGCTGCCTTTGAGCCGTGTGGTCATATGGCAGAAGGGGCACTCGTACTGCCCGGCGGTGTGAACCACGGACATGTGCCGCTGCAGGTCGCGCCGCTTCAGGAACGAGCGCGAGCACGCGGCGCACCGGTGGGTCCGACCCTGGTAGAGGCGGGAAAGGGAGGTTAGCAGGGCCTGGGAGGGCGGTGGGAATGACAGGTCACGTGTGGGCGGTGGTGTGGGGAAGCAAACGTCTACTGAAATAACTATAGAACTAACGAACTCGCGGAAACAAGAATTATGGTCAGAGCGGGAGATCACAGATGATAAAGCATATCCTAACGCTACGAATTCACACTCCGTTTGAACAAATCAGTAGGTAAGAAACAATCGCATAATTTCACATTTATAGATGAGTAACCTTATCCTGGCAAGCCAGGAAAACTAGCCGACTGGCCAGCACATCGCCGCCTCGGCCATTGCTGCGCATCAGCTCTCACCTAGGCCTGTGCTGGTGGTCAGTCCCTCACCCAATATTACTTTACTGGTGCGCTCAACTGAGTGTGCTGCAGCCAGTGGTCCGTCCCCCCCCCCCCCCTAGCCGCCGCCCCTCCCTTACCTGGGTATGCTGCAGCTGCCGCCCCCCCTCACCTGCGTGTGCTGCAGCCTGTGGTCCTTGAGGTGGTGCGCGCTGCTCAGGCACTTTCCACAGACGTCACAGCGGAACTCCAGACGGTGGTCGGGGTCGTGGGTCCGCCGGTGGCGCAGCATGTTCACCTTCTGCACAAAGCGCCGCTCGCACAGGTCGCACGCGAAGCGCGCGTCCCCAGTGTGCAGACGCACGTGCACGGCCAGAGACTTTTTCGACTTGAACCGCTTGTGGCAGTGGGGACACGGCACCTGGGGGTGGGGACACAGTGGTTAGGTGTGGAATGTACAGAGCTGGTAATATGAAACCGTTGCGTTTTCTATGTGAAAGGGCCTTTTGTGCGAACGTATGATATACCTAATGACAATTGTTTTGATTTAAAAATCAATTAATTAATGAAACAGCGAAAAAGCAAAGACCTGCAAAAAGTGTCCTTCTTTCTCGCTCCATTTGTATATCTCCCCAGTCACCAAACCAAACCAGCCTCACCATTGGTTGGCCATGCGTGGCCAGATGTGACAGCATCGTATCCTTCCGCTTGAACTTCAGGCCGCACAGTTCACAGGCGAACTGGCGCTCGGCGTGTGTGAACCGGTGCAGCCAGAGCGACTTTTTGGAGGTGAAGGTCTGGGCGCACACCTCACACACCACTGGGGGTGGCGCGGACTGCGCTGCCCGGGATCTCGCCGGTCGCCGGGAGGGGGCAGGCCGGTCCGCCGCGCCCCGCTCCGGCTCCAGGCGCGAGCAGACGTGTGCGCCGAGCTGCAGCCGCGAGCGGAACCTGCGGCCGCAGGTGGTGCAGCGGTGCGGCAGCTCGTGCTGCCGGGCGTGCTCGGCCAGCGCCGACAGCGAGTCAAGACGCGCCGGACAGCGGCGGCACGTCACCGAGCCAGAGCGGGCCAGCTGCTCCCCGGCGCCGCACAGCGCCTCGTGACGGCGCAGCGGCGCCGCGCCAGAGAAGCGCCTCGCGCAGCGCGGGCACGCGAAGCGGTCCGAGTGCAGCGCCGCGTGCTGGCGCAGACTGGCCGCGCTGGCGAAGCGGCGCGCGCACTGGGGGCAGCTGTGCGGCCGGTCGGCGGCGGAGGCGGCGCGGCAGGCGTGAGCCGCGCGGCTGGACGCCGAGGCGAAGTGGCGGCCGCAGCCGGCGCAGCGCAGCGCTCCCGTGTGCCGCCGCTGGTGGCGCCGCCACGCGGCCGCCGTGGTAAACAGTCGGCCGCAGTGGGGACACGGCCAGCCCTGGGCGGCGCGCCGCGGACCGGGACACGGGTGGGCGGCGAGCGTCTGACGGCGGGTGAACACCTACCGGGAGAGGCAGGCAGTCAACACCTGTCAGTCAACCACCGGCAGTCCGCATCCGTCAGACAGCAGCAGGCAAACACTGACTCTTCAGTTAACGGCAGTGCACATGCAGTGAGGGTTTCCAGCCAGCAGAGAACAGATGCACATGAATAATAGAACTGCTGCACTCAGGATAAGTCTGGTTTGCCAAACACGGACAAGAAGA